GTCCGAACGACCTGTCACAGAAATATAAGAATCCTGCGGTGGTTCGTCCATGCGGGGGCACTCTGACGATCAAGTCAGTAAAATATCTCTCAAAGATAACCAATAGTGTTTAACTCACTAGACAGAGCATAAAAGACATACCTTAGACCCATGAGGGTGCCTCTCTTTTATAGCCAACACAAATCTAGTCTTAATAGAAGCCTAGCTTCAATGGACTTAGGATTACTGCTAATCTTGGACTCCCAGTAGGATTAGGATAAACTCTCTAAGAGTCTTATCTTTACCCAAACTGAAGTCTTCTCCCATTCTAGGACTCTTGTCCATTATTCGCTTATCCCGGATTCTGGTATTTTCGCAGATAACCTTGGCCTAGCTGAGATCATCTCAGATTCAAGTCAAGGACACGTGGCACCTCAGCTGACACTTCGGTGCCACCTCAGCCACGTGTTGCTACTCAAAAAATATGCCCCCACGTTTTATTCTTTTTTCTTTTTCTTTTTTTATGCCTTAATTTGTTATTCGTAAGATTCTTGTTCATGTTAAGTGAAAATTCATTTATTTGGAAGTAAGTTTTTGATCCAATTAAATAGAAAAAGCAAATATAATTTGGTAGATCTCTATATAGGAATGCTGTTCAAGGTTTGTTTTCTATTATTTATTTTTTTGGGGTTTTTTTTTTCAGTTGAACAATTTACATTTTATCTAACCCACTTGCAAATGTGAATGAAGCTTTTTTTTACTATTGCAATTGTAGCATCATACCATAAAATTCCAATTCAAATATTCAGCCATGGTCAATAAACATACAATTGCATATTACCAGCCATACATGCAAATAAATACATATCAATGGATTAGGGCTTTCAAACTATTGAGAGAGAAAGGAAAAAGAGGGGGAAATGTATCATACCAGTAAAATATTTAGAGCCAATTTCAAAAATTACAAACCAATTTAAAAAATCTAACAAGTTGAACCCATAAAACCAGTTGAACCTAATTTCGGAAATGTATTAGGGATAACTATTTTGGCCATCAAACCCTTAAAACTGAAGAAAATAAACCAGTTGAACCAAACCAATTTCAGAAATCAACACAAAATTAAACTAAAAAAATCATATCAAACCTTAGAGTATTATGTGAGAAATGGGGAAATAGATGAAGCGAGAGAGAGAGAGAAAGAGAGAGAGAGAGAGAAACCTGTGATTCGCGGCAGTGGGGGTGGTGATTTGCAGCGGTGGCAATGGCGACAGTGGCCAGCAACGGTGGTGAGTGGGGGTGAGGTTTGGTGCTGACTCTGTTCTCTGTGTCTGTGTGACACAGAATAGAGAGCAAACTGTGTAACTGTAGAGAGAAGACGCGGGCACCAATATTAATTTGTTTCCCTATAAAAAAAAAAATTCAACCTTTAGCGACTAAACTACTTTTCGTCGGAAAAAGATACTGTCAATACCAACAAAACATTTTGTAGCCAAAAGATAGGGTATTGGCGACTAAACTTTCGTAGCCAAAAGTATCATTTTGCTACTAATTTTTTTTTGGTCGACAAAGAGTTATTATACGACGACTAAATTTTTTTAGTCACCAAAACCTCATATTTGGCAACCAAATTCTTTCGTCGGCAAAGAGTAAAAAAAAAAAAAATCGCTAACTATTTGGCGACTAAACTTTCTTTTGTCGGCAAATAATTGTATTTGAAAACCAAATTAAATTTTTTGTAGCATAAAGTGCAAACTATCGCCGACTACTAGTTTTTTTGTCACCTATTTATGAATATTTAGCAACTAAATATTTTTTTTTGTCGCCAATAAATAAGATATCTCGACTAAAATAATATAGTAGCTGAAACTTGAGTCAACGTCGACAAATTTATTTTTTAGTTGCCAAAACTGTTACTTTTCGTGACTAATTTTATTTTGGTCGCCAAATGTGTAATTTCTTATAGTGATTGAGTTTTTTTTTTTTTTTTTTTTTTTTTGAAAACTGAATTTTATGTTTTTCATGTTTTTTTTTTTGGTTTTTAATGAATATTTTTAAAATTTTAAGTAGTTTTTTTATTTTTTTAGATGTACCTTACTTAGATATATCTAAGAAGTAAAATATTTGTAGAAAAAATATTTTAAAAAATCAATAAATACATAAGAATACGAAAAATGTATTGAATTTTTTTTTATTTATATATTTTGGTATTTAGTGATTTTTTTATAAAAAAAATCACAAATATTATATTTTTAAGTGTATTTATGTTAGGTGTATCTAAAAATTAAAAAATTGCTTAAAATATTTTAAAAAATTAAGTAAAAATAAAAAATACGAAAAATAAAAATTTTAATTTTCTAAATCCTGAGTTAGGAAACTAAAGAAGCTGATGTTTTTAAATTTAATTAATGCATTATTCAATCCAAAATTTAGGACCATGTTAGCAGTGCCAAAATTATCTTAAATTGTCTAGTTTTTTTTTTTTTTTTTGAATTTTTTTTTTTTTTTTTTTTTTTTTGCGCATTTAGATTTTCTGGTTTAAGAGAGGAAATAGTTGGTGATGAAACTTTCAAATTAATAAGTAGGGAATGAAATATATAACATTCATTTGGGATGTGAATTGACTTTTTGACTTTTTAGTTTGGGCTAAAAAATCTTGTTTGGGATATGTTTTTTTGGCTTTTTTAACTTTTGTGAGAGAAAAAATGAAATGATTAGTTTAGATGTGATGTTTTTTTGTATTGATTTTTTAGCCTATTTTATCTTTTTGTAACCATTTTAATCCAAACTCTATAGAATCCGGATCCTCGGCCACCCTACCCGGCAGCCCTCCAAAACGACGTCGTTTTGGGGGGTTTTTTGGTTTTTTTTTTTTCTTTTCTTCTTCTTCGTTCTTGCTTTCTCTCTCTTCGAACAGAAACCAGAGGGGAGGGGAGAGGGAGAAGAGGGAGGAAGGAGGAGGGAGAAGGCTGCGAGCTCGCCATCGCAGCTCGTCGCCTCGCCGCCGGCTGTCGTAGCCGTCCGATCGTCGCCCGATCCAGCTCGTCGCAGCAGCTGCACCGCCGTCGCCTCCGCCTCCTCCTCCTTCTCCTCCTCCTCCCCCACTGGTTATGGCCCCCTCCAGTCCGGCCCTCCTCCTCCTCCTCCTCCTCCCTCTTTCTCTCCTTCCTCCCTCTCTTCCTCTGCGTTTTTTTTTTTTTTGAAAATTTTCCCCCAAAACAACGTCGTTTTGGGGGGCTGCCGGGTAGGGCTGCCGAGAATCCGGACTCAACTCTATATACCAAACAAAGCCATAATGAGACAGAGATAGATTATAGAGGATTTTTAAGTTATTTTATTGGAAACTAAACAATAAATTCCCAACCATTCAATCCAAAGCTCAAGTATGAAAATTAATAACTTACCAAAACAGTACTAAAAATAGGCAACTCATTAAATGGCTTCCTAATAACTCCTTGCAACCAATATCTACCATTCTATCTTAACAAAACCCAAAAACATCATGTCATTATACTCATTAAACAATAATATTACATAATCCAACAAAATTAGTTAAAAGATTATCAGAAAAGAAATCATATGATTACATAATCCAACAAAATTAGTTAAGAGATTATCAGAAAATAAATTATGTTAATTGGATTTATTTTAGATGTGATCCTAATAATTACAGTAAGGGTCCGTTTGGATAATTATGTATTTCAAATCAAGAAATTTAAAGTTAAATTGATAGAAAACAATAGAAGAAGATGAGTTGAGCGAAATAAATATATTTTTAGTAAGATCCTTCGTAAATGAATTCTTAGTATGATTTTAAATAATTACTTTTATATGGTTATTTCAAATCGATCATGATATAACTATTTAACCCCATTTTAAAATATTTAAATAAACTATCCTATCTAAATTTGAGTTATTATTTTTGAATGATTAAGGTTAAGTTCTTTAATTTGAAATCTATAATTATCCAAACGTACCCTAGGTTTAAATTTACATATACATTACACACTTCATTCTCAGATAGGAAAATGTTATTTATAATTATATTTCATACCATATTTTCTTACTTCTAAATGTAAGTCAATGGATCCTGTGTATATTTATTAATGTAAATATCATTACATTATATCATGAGTGTGAAAATAGAATGAAAATGTAATTATATATAACATTCAGTATGTTTGGTTTCAATTTTTTAGAAATTAAATTTTTATTTTTTGTATTTTTTTGTTTTTAGTGAATAATTTTAAAATTTTAAGCAATTTTTTTACTTTTTAATATGCACCTCACTTAGATGTATTTAAATAGTAAAATATTTGTGAAAAAATACTTAAAAAATTAATAAATACACAAAAATAAGAAAAATGTATTATTTTTTGTATTTTTTATAATATTTTTGGTATTTAGTAAATTTTTTAAAGATTTTTTTCATAAATATTTTACTTTTTAAATGTATTTATGTTAGGTGTGTCTAAAAATTAAAAAAAAATTCTTAAAATATTAAAAAAATCATTAAAAACAAAAAAATAAAAAAATAAAATTTTCTCAAAAATATTTTCATATAACTTTCCTAACTATTTTTTGAGACTTTTGAAGTTATTTTCCCACTCAAATTTGGGAAGAAAAGTCAAAATGTGGAAGACAAAGCAGTAAATACACCATATTAATACCCATTTTTTTTAAAAAAAAACAAATATTATATGTACCAATTAATATACTAACTAGTATATTAATTAATGATGTAATATAATTTAGGAGGTCTTTGAGATTTATAATAAAATTAATGAGTGAAGTCAATAATAATATCATAATTAATATTAATATACTAATTAATACATGTAGTATCACGGTTTAAAAAAACGTTTTTCCAATATAATTCATATTTGTTGTTACTCCTTTCCTTCATTTATTTTATCAGCACTTTGCTTCTTCATATATATAACACCACATCCATCCCAAAGTTTTTACAATTCACTCAGACGCACCACATTTTCCCAGTAACCAAACAACAAACCCGAAAAAAAATGCCCAAACCCCTTCAAAAATCTCTTCACCACTACCTCTCCAAGATCAAAAAATCCACAAAACACATCCATTTACCATGCAAAATCCTCTCATCTCCAGCCAGTTGGATCCTCAGAGGCTGCAAACACCCTAAAACACTCTCATTTGCTGCCAACGATCGCAACCCAAAACAAACCCACAACAATAATGGTGATGAAGATCGTGATGATGATGCAGCAACCCTAGAAGACATCGATCGCTTTATGTTTGAGAATTTCAAGTCACTGTATCTAAACGATGACGACAATGATGAAGAAGACAATAACAACAACAACAACAAGAAAACAGGTCTTAAAGATGATCATGAAGAAAAAACAAATGGGTTTTCGTTCGAATTGCCTAGGGTTCTCAACCCACCACCAGACCGTTATAGCTCTCACCAGTTTTTCGTGGGAAACCCTAGCTGGTCGAGTTCATTAATGGAGGAAGCGAGGACAAACTCCTCCACCACCGCCACTACGGCCACTACTAATGAGTCAACGACTAGAAGAGTTGGTGATGATAATTGTAAACGAGTAATGGGTCCCGATGATTTTATCGCCTTGTTCACGTACTCGCCAAGTCCATACAATGATTTTAAGGATTCGATGCAGGAAATGATCGAGGCGAGAGTGGAGTATTGTGGGAAGGTGGATTGGGAATTCATGGAAGAGCTCTTGTTTTGTTACTTGGATTTGAATGATAAGAAGTGTTACAAGTATATACTGAGCGCTTTCGTCGATCTTGTTGTCGTTTTACGGGAGAATTCCGGTAAGATTCCGGCGCGATCATGGCAGAGGAGGAGAGAGTGAAAAGGAGATGTAATGTAACGAAAGGTCTTAGTTAGATTTTAGAAATATTTTTTTTAATAATTGGATGTCTAACTAATTTACATACATCTCGATTAATCTCGATATTCTGAAATTAACGATCGTGCAAACTTTCAATAATTCTAAGAATTGGGATGTTTAGGTGGGTTTTAAAAATATTAAAGAATATTTTGGGCATTGCAAGCAATTGTTGGTCTGTAGAGTACTTGTTTTTTTATTTTTAGCATTCATATCACATGCAATATATGCATATAATATGAAATGTGTAATATATATACATATATGGTTGTATAGTAGTAATGTTGAAGAAGAAAACTTTGAATATGAATAAAATTTTGAATTTTTTTTCCCACATCTTAGACCTGATATCACATGCAATATATACATATAATATGAAATGTGTAATATATAAGAGTAGTGTTGAAGGAGAAAAGTTTGAATATATGAAGAATGAAGTTTTGTTTGTTTGTGGGTTTCGTGGGGAAAGAGATTTCAATAGATATTCAAATAGTAGTGTGTTGTCTGTTGCATGTTCCCCGGTGTACGAAATTGCATTTTCTAGGTAGAATATATATAATCTTCTTTATATGTTTATTTTATTTATTTTTTTGATCGGCAAAAAGAATACTTTATTGATGAAAAAAGAAAAATTACATCAATAAAGAGGAGCTTAGAGCTAAAAACAAGCTCCAACCTCCAAGTTGGTGAGAAACCAACGAGCCAACAAAAAAGAGGAAAAAGAAACAAGGAAAACCAAATAGGAAAGTCACTATAACACCAAAACCAGAGCAGACAACACAGCCCTAATTTGAAGCACCAATCAGATCAGGTCCTGCAGTTAGTTAGACACCAAGACAGAACAGATAGATCAGATTTGCCTTGGGCAACATTGCCATGAATTACAACGGCCCAAACTACCCACAAAAAGTTTTAAACCAACACTGCAGCAGGTTAGATCAGATACAGCAGCAGTCCTTCAAACTGATTAAATACAACAGCAGCAGCAGTTAGATCAGATAGCCCTTCAGCCAAACCACCCACCAAAATTGTTATCCCAACACATCTGCAGTTCACTACAACGGCCCTACAGAAACAGATCATCCTCTGCATCAGTTGCACCAGAGCAGAATCACCCAGAAACAGCAGTACACAAGTTATATCCTCAGTGCATTAGGCAGAATTTCACATTTTGCAAATTATACACCAGATCATCAACAGAATAGCAAAAGGAAGGACTAAAGGCCCTGAACCACATTGCAACCCGTGTTTTGATAAGATCACACAACTTTCCAAAATCCAACTGTGACTCGTTAAAGATGATTTCATTCCGTAGCTTCCATAACGACCAAAGCACTGCCAGTGGAATTATCTTCCAAATTACCTTCAATCTGTTTTTGCATCTAAACCCAGCACACCATTGAATAAGACCCACCACTGACCCCGGCTGTACCCAAGATACGCCCCACCATCCAATAATATTAGACCAAACTCTCCAACTAAATGAACAACACAGCAGCACATGGGATACAGTTTCCCTTTCCTTTCTACAGAATACACAATTAACATCAGAGTTGGCACTTAGGATTCCAATTCTTTGCAAATATGTAGAAGTCTTGATCCTCCCTTTCCATGCTAGCCAAGCAAAAAATTGCACTTTCGGAGGTGCTGCATTCTTCCAAATGAGCTCCACCATTTTTGCAGGCATGGTAGATGTTAACTCACTCCACTTGTAGGCAGACGAAACAGTAAATATTCCAGATCTGTCCGCAGCCCAAGACAACCCATCTACCACCCCATACCTGAGCTCTGGAGCAGTTTGTAACAACTCCTTCATTTTCCTCAATTCTTCAACTTCCCATTGAAACAGTGCTCTTCTGAAAGACAAGTCTCATTCCCTACTACCAGTACTCTTACTCTTAATCACCGCCACTGATATACCTTGCCGCTTAGACACAGAGTATAATCTAGGGAATAGGTTCTTTAAACAGTCACCACCAACCCATTGATCCAGCCAAAAACTTATGAGCCTCCCATCCCCAATGGTGATCTTTGAGTTGGCCTTAAATACCTCCAGCAGCTGTGGACACTTAAAAGCCACCTTTAAAATGTCCCTCCATACCATAGAATATCTGGAATTTACATCTTGAGCTGGCCACCTAGATCCACCATTATGTGGGTACTTGCTGATAATCACTTGTTTCCAAATAGATTCAGATTCACTCCCAAACCTCCACCACCATTTGAGAAGAAGACATTCATTCATGGTTCTCACCTTTCTAATACCTAGACCCCCGTTACTTTTGCTTTGAGTAATTTCTTCCCATTTTACCATATGAATTTTCCTTCTAAGTTCATCACCCCCCCACAAAAATCTGGACTGAATTTTATCAATCTCTTTGGCTATCCCTTCAGGCATTCTAAACAAAGACAAGTAAAACACTGGTAGTGAAGATAGCACAGACTTGATCATTGTCAACCGACCAGCGAAGGAAAGAAGCCTACGCTTCCATGAAGCAAGCTTTGATTTGAATTGATCGATGACAGGTTGCCAAGACTTTCTCCTCCTTGGATTAGCCCCCAATGGCATCCCTAAATACTTCAAAGGTAGTTTGTGATGCAGACAATTCAGTATGTCAGCAAAATCTTTGGTAAGGTCTTCATTAATACCAACACCACTCACTACACTTTTGTGATAGTTTATCTTCAACCCAGACAAGATTTCAAAACATCTCAATATTCTTTTGATATTAAGCACCTCCTCCCTCCTTGCCTCACAAAACAAGATTGTGTCATCAGCAAATTGTAGGTGAGTAATAGTAAGATCATTTGAACCAACTGATGCACCCTTGATCAATCCAACCTGGACAGCTCTATGCAACAGAATATTAAGACCCTCAGTTACAATGTTAAATAGAAAGGGGGATAAAGGATCACCTTGTCTGAGACCCCTTTGAGGACTAAACTCAGCTGTAGGTGATCCATTCACCAGAATAGAGATTTTGGCAGTTGAGATACATTCCTTCATCCATCTGATCCATTTTGCACCAAAACCAAAATTTGATAACATGGAGAATAGAAACCCCCAATTTATTGAATCATATGCTTTCTCGAAGTCAAGCTTTAATACAACACCTTTCTTTTGCTTCTTCTTCCAATCATCAACAATCTCATTAGTAATCAGGATACCATCAAGGATGCTTCTACCCCCTATAAAAGCTGATTGAGACTCACTAATGATCCTTGGTAAAACAGCTTTGAGTCTACTAGATAACACTTTGGAGAGCACTTTGTACAATGATCCAATAAGACTGATCGGCCTAAAATCACTGAGAGAATAAGGATTTTCATTCTTAGGAATCAAGGCAACAAAGGAGCTATTAATACCAAAGACCAGCTTAGAATTGGTATGAAACTCACTCATGAACTTCATCACATCCCCTTTAATTATATGCCAACATTTCTGGAACATCAAAAGGTTAAATCCATCCGGGCCAGGGGCCTTATTCCCATCACAACTCTTTTATATGTTTATACAAAATGAAAATTTTTACATTGAGGTCTTGTTTGATTAATTAGATTAATAGTAAAGGAACTAATAATGAATAAAATTAGTGTAAGAATGATTATTTAGCTGAATCAGTGGTAATAAATAATTCCCTCTTATCCATTTTTATTTTTCTAAATTTGTATATCTAACCAAATTTAATCTGGATAACAAATATTGCAATAAATCCTATGGATTAATAATTTTTATCCTATACTAAATCCTCTCAATCAAACAAGCCCTAAATTTATACATAATAATATGATAAAAATGTATTTATTTATTTATGTCAAACTAAAAAAATTATTATAACAATTGATTATTTTTAAAATATTATTATTGCATCATTTTATTCAGACTTTTTGTACAAAATTTTATTTGCAAATTATTTTCCTTAACGTTTGTAATGGAGGGCATCATTGGTGCATATGATGCTTTGGTCATTGAAGTTTCAGAATTCTAAAACTGTGCCCTGAATCATGATTTTTGTTGATGGTCGTCACATTCTTTATCATTAGGCATTGAATACACTGGTTGGTTGGTGAGACATGAAATATGTAAAATTTAATGTATAAAGAAAAATAGAGAGAGAATAAATTGTATGTATTATTGATTGATTTATGATGTGTTATGTATATTACAAGAACAAGGATTCCTATTATATAGGAGAGGATTTGGGAGTAGGTGAGGAGTAGGTGGAGGGTAGGTGAAGGTAGTAGGTGAGGAGTAGTAGGTGATGGTAAGTGTATGGTAGGTGATGGTAAGTAACATATAAATTTATATTATTCACTTTAAAACAGTGTGAGGTTTTAACTCTTAATTTTATCAATGTAAAATTTTACACTGAATTTTTATCTCATAATGTGAAACTTGAAATTCTGTCAATTACATAGAGTTACGAGTTTTATAGTGCACAAAACTAATTTTTAAAAAACTCTTGTTTCAAATTTTATAGTTCCAAATCCCAAATTTACGAAAGTGTGATTTTACAACAAATCTCAAACGATCATAACATATGTAAGCTAATTGTGTATACATTGAAATTGTGACAATTCAAAACCACATGACTTGTAATATGTAATCTTTTGAGAGTTTGGATTACATATTAGATGTTTGTAATCCCTCCCTATGTTTGTAATCCTCCCTCTGTTGCGGATCTAGGGCACACCAGGGGACACTCACAAGCAAAAACACAAGACTTTTAACGTGGTTCGGCAAACCGGCCTACGTCCACGGGAGCGATGTTGTTATATATCAACAAATGGAGGAGATTACACACTCTCAACTCACCGTCTCTCTATATAACACACTCTCTCAGCTATGATGCCCTATATTCAACTCACCATCACTTCTCTATATATAGAGATTACAAAGGCAAGAGGCACCCTTTGAAATGAGCTGGCTGCCAGCCCATTTCGGTGGCTTTCCAGATTGCTTCATGGCCTCATGGCCAACTCACATGGCTTCCCCACCATGTAGCTGGCTGCTACTTTCCTTCACATGGCCAGAATCTCTGTAGCCAACTCAACTTGGGTTGATCTCCTACAAATCACCCCCTCAACCCATATGAGGTGATCCATAATAGCACCCCCTGCCTGGAGTGCCCGGCACCCCCTCACTGGGGTGCCATGCAAAGCTTACTTTGCAACTCTTTGAGATGGCATCTCTCCCTTCCATCCAGTCTTGGAGAGATCCCAATATGTCTCTAATTCAGGAGCAAAAGAAACGTGAGCGACAGAGCGGTGTGTCGGCCGCGTCGTCTGTGTCAATATAAACCAATGCGGAGGCGGAGGAAACCAAACCAGACTGAAACCTCTGAACTTGTCATTCTGAAACAATCTGTAAATACTCTGTATCTAACCCTTCTCGGAAACACTCAGCAACCCAAAAAACATGGCCTCTTCTTCCCGTTCAGCTACCCAGAACATGGCCTCATCTTCCCGTGGTCTGCTCACTCTCTTTCCCGACCTCAACGAGTCAACAGGAGAGATAACAGGTGCGGTGGCCCGTGAACCTCAACCAAACACCTCTGGTTTTGCTCCGTTGAACTTTCCGATGCGGTCGGTGGAGCAAAAAATGGCGGTGCAGTCGGATGTGGAGGCCAATCAGTATACATTGAAGTCATGTGTGGAAACCATGACTGCGGTTACAAATTTGTCGAACCGGCTGCAGAGTAGGACAAATGAGGTGCAGCATTTAAATTCCCAGCTGGCTCTGCTCCAACGCATGTATAAGGATGCGCGAGCAGAGATAAGCGTGCTAAGGGCAGAAAACAAGGAGCTGAAGCGGAAGGCCACCGTGATGTTCCGATTTGGAGGTCCACCGTATGCTGTAGTGGAGGAGCAGGGAGGAGGCAACTTGCTTGGTGGTCTAGGATGCACGGAGGCAACACCGGCAATGACCACCCAGGACGGAGGCAAGAAGAAAAGACCGGCGGCTGAGTAGAGAAGAAAAATTCCACTGTGGGTGTGGTAGTTTTGTTTTTGTTTGTGTGGGTTTTTTTTTTTTTTTTTTTGATGTAAAAGTGTGATCGGGGTTGATCCCCTGATATGAATAAAATGACAAGGTTGTGGAATGTTGTTGGTGTTATTTTGTGGTGTTGTTTTGTTTAATAAGAAAGTGTTTTTTTTTTTTAAAATACCCATGTTCAAAAGATGGAGTAAAAAAAAATTGAGTGGGGAACATGAGTGTGTAAAAAGAATGAAAAAGAAAAAGGATGGGTTGGATTTGTATAAAATAATAAGAAAATAAAGGAGTGGAGGTGGTGTGTGTAAAACATGAATATATTGGAACCAAAAAGATATTGATGAGGAAAATTGGAATCAACCCACATGGGTGGAGGTGGTGTGTAAAACACTTTATGAAAAGATGGGGGTATTGTTTATTTTATGATGATAAATAAATAAGAAAAGATGTGTGTGCTGGTGTATGCATGATGGAGCAGTGTGCATAGCTATATATGGGTATTCAATCCTGCCAAAAGGAAGAGAGAGAGAGATGGGGGTGTCGTGATGGCCTCAGATCATCATGGATTAAAATATGAGTGAGTGGGTGTATGGTGATAGTGGAATAAAATATGAGTGAGCAGGTCTTCAAGTCTGCCAAAAGGAAGATGCTTATCACAGAGCATTATTGATTGCACCAGACAATAACCAGTTCATGGATTAAAATATGAGTGAGTGGGTGTGTGGGGGGTTGTGGAATTTGACAAAGTAAAAAAAAAATGAGAATCAGGAGAGGGGTGCAACTTTTCTCTCTCTGTGCGTCTGTATTCTCCGTAAGAGAGAGAG